TCACAAGAGAAGGCTGAGGGGGGGGACCTGGTGACCGTCTATAAACTCACTAGGGGGGACCAGAAGGGTTTGGGGGAGACCTTGTTTCCCCTAGCGCCCCCGCAGGATAACAAGGAATAACGGCCACAAATTGTTGGAGAGTAGGTTTAGATTAGACATCCGTAGGAACTACTTCACAGTCAGGGCGGCTAGGATCTGGAACCAACTTCCAAGGGAAGTGGTGCTGGCTCCTACCCTGGGGGTCTTTAAGAAGCGGCTCAATGCCTACTTGGCTGGGGTCATTTGAGCCCAGTTTTCCTCCTGCCCAGGCAGGGGGTCAGACTTGAAGATCTACAAGTTCCCTTCCAACCCTACTTCTATGATTCTATGATGACTGGCAGCTGGGAAGTGGGGACAGGAGCTCCTGCCTGCAGGTGGGCATGGGGTTTGTAGGTAGGTGTGGACCGTGCACCATCAGGCCAGGCCAGCCAGCTCCATGCCTCCATCTGGGGCTTCCAGAACTCCAGCAGGAACTCCAGCTGGATCCACAGAGACAGTCCATCCCGATGGTGCATGGATCTGTGCCTCCACATGCGGCTTCCCTCTGGAGTGCTGGAAGCCCCCTCATGGAGGCACAGAGCCCACCTGGCCCAGTGAGACATGGCTCCCAGTCCACGTGCCATCGGGCCAGGCCGGGCAGACTCCATGCCTCCATGTGAGGCTTCTAGCACTCCAGCAGCAAGCCACACATGGAGGCAAGGAGCCCACCTGGTCTGATGGATGCAGTTCTCACCTGCAGTGCTGCAAGCTCCATGTGCTGGCACAGAGCCAGCTTTGTCTGGTCTGGAGGCACTTGTCAGAGGGCTGGACTGGGCTGGTTTGGTGCCATCACATGCGGCCTCTGGGTCTCAGCTAGAGCCACATGCCATCAGGGCCTCTGCCTGCTGCCGCCTTGAGGGCCCCAAGGGCTCGCCATCTGCTGTTAAGTCAGTGGTGGTGTGGGACTGTACACCGTGGTGGGGATGGGACTGTGGTGGGGGGCCCACACCCACATTCCCCATAACCCCTGCCACACACCCAAACCCGCCCCAACCATACAAAGTACCTGAATATATTTCTAAGGAAGGTTCAAATAGTGTTATATTTAGTTTCATTTAAAAAAAATAATAGTAAAAATAATTAACATTGCATAATTTTGAGTTTTTCTCCACATAATTCCTGAGGTATATTCTATGAATCATCCATATACACTGACTGAACAGGATAGGTCTTGCTATGCTCCGGATGAATGATGTGTTATCCTGCTCTAGAATGTTTGGAGTACAGAATCAGGATGAGGTTCCACAGCAGCAGCAGGAACTCAGCAGCAGGGATCCTACTTAAGTGACCATGAGAAGACAAAGGAGCAAACTTTGAAGTACCTGGATTAGTGAGCATCTGGGCAACAAAGGGGCTGCTGAGGAAGAGTGCAAGTTTTTTTTCTAACCTGTTGGCTGATTATTACTACTTCTCTCTCCGATTATTTTTAATTATTAAAATACATTTTCCTAGGGCTAAGAATATGCGAAAGGTACAGGATTTATTGTACAGCACACAGTTAATAAATCCTAGGACTTGCCCTATTTCTAAAATGATTCTACAGCCGCTGTAGGTAATTGAAGGATCAAGCCATGCATTTTAAATACATATATAAGTGCATTTGCATATGCATATATATGCAAATTGTATACTTTTCCTTCAGACACTGAAACTCATGTACATAGACACTATCTAGCTAAAATCATGTGCATTGTTCACTGCCAAAAATCTTATTCCTTATGAGATTTCTAGCTCCATGTTGGTATGCTAACTTCTGCAGTTGCACTGAAGCTGACATGCTAAAATTTTAAGGTGGGAAATTGCAACATTTAAATCCAAAAGCTGCTTCAGTGCTAAGACTTTAATTTTTTATTGTCCTTTTGCCTCCCTATAGTTAAGTCTGCCTATCTTTTTCTACCATCTCAAGCATGCTATCTAAGGCCTTGTCAATACAAGCTTGGATGTTTGTTTCCCCGGAGACGACCTGTGCCCCCGCTACTTGTCCTAGGGAATGCCTGTGCCATGTGTGCTCTGGCAGCAGAGAGCCTGGCCAGCAGCCAGAGCACAGCTGTGGATAACCAGGCTCCAGTTTTGGGCGGAGCATGCTACCGCTATGTGTGCCACCCCACCTTCTTTAGGCTAGGTTTTTTTTAGACCCCCTTTACCCCCCCCATGCTGCAACGTAACAGCATGGGGAATGCCTACAGATGGGTCTGCAGTGCCATGTACTGAACGTCTTCCCTCATCTGGACACACCCCAAGAGTCTAGATGTAGCCTGTAGGCCATTTAAGACTGGCTTAATCATCCTGGGAATGTCAGGTGCTACTCTGAGATGGTCTTCCATGAACCCGCTCAGGGTTAATTGTGGACACAGCATTTTGCTCTGATCTAGTCAGTCCTTCAGACATCCCAAACTACATTGCTCTCACTGCCCCATCCAAATGCATGCAGGACAAGAGGCTTCTGTGGAATGTAGCCAGGAATTTATTTTCCAAACCTCCGCTCTCAGATTTCCATTCCACTAAGATAAGCAGACCATGGGAGCAGAAGCAGGGACTTCAGCTCCCCAAATCAAGTAAGAATCATTCTTTCTTTGCCCCTCCCCCCCACCTCTGCCCACTCTTAGCACTTCCATCCTTCTCTTGTGTTTTTAGCAATATGTCCACTCCCCTCCACCTCCTCCCATTTCCCTGCCAGGTGCTGTTGCTGTCCCCAGCTGATCCAGGGATGGGGGCTCCAGTGCTGATCCTGCCCCACTCAAGCCATGAACAGTGTCAGAAAGGGTAGTTGCAGCACCAGTGTGTTTCCTGCCAGACCAGAAGCAAGTTCAGGGAGGGAGAACCTGACCACCTCTGCTATCACTGGTCCCAGTTGAACTTGGCTGGAGCAGAGCATGAATGACTCTGGAGCCCTTCCCTTCCCCAGACCAGCTGGGAATAGTAGCAGTGGCAGGTGGGGTAGGGGATTTGCTGCTGAGGACAGAGGGGTAGAGAAGGGAAAGATGCTATTTAGATTCTTACCTGCTTTTGGGACTGCTGCTTTCATGGTGTGGTCTGAAAGGGGGGTACAGCTACACGACTGCCCTCCCTCTGGATCTGCCTATGTCAGATCCTGAGAGGCTGTGCCTCCCTGCTTGTGCTTCCTTGGAAGCCATGTGCCCCAGGGCCCTCCAAGATCTGTCTTGATAGCTGTCCACTTCCCTGCTGGATACCCTGTTCTTGAGGGTGCCAGGTGCATTTGGGGCCAAGGGAAGGAGGAGGTGGTGTTGCCAGGGGCTGAGGAGGCTATACAGGGAAGTGAAATTGATAGCATGGATTTCAAGGGGGGGTGGGGGGAATAGAGAGGAAAGCTTCAGAAATCTTGTCGGGGCCCTGGAGCATAAAGCTCCTTGAAATCAGAAGCAGGGGTCTCACAACCACCCAGTACCTGCCAACGCTCCAAACCTCCCCAGAAGACATGATGGTCTGGGTACTCTACCACTCCCCTTGTGGCATTTCATCCGCAGTTTAATCCCTAAGAGGTTCTTCTTAGAACCCTTAGCAGTGTACGTGTGGACGTTGTGAGCTAGCTCCCAATCAGTGACATTCTTCAACATTTCAAGTGTTATGTCTGTCTGCACCCTAAGGCTTTCAGCTAACTTTCAGTCTCGACTTATTGAGTCAAATCGCTGGTCCAGTAAGAAGTGATGGCCTGTCACACAGTCCAGATATAAAGGGGAGATCCCTGGAAGATCATGACCAGTAGGCTTCACGCAGATTTTGTTTGTCTGACGTCACAGCTATTCAAGTATAAATCCCAACAAATTGCTCAGTAAATATCAAGGAATTTACTACTCAAAACAGCCTTAACACCCAAATAGATTGCTCATAAGCACCCATATACTCCTGTTCTTTGCGAATAACTCCCATGTGCTTCCAGTATGCAACAAACCTCTATGCATGTGCATAGCAAATTCCCCTCCATCCCACTAAAATGTATAATCTTATCTCTGACCATACCAAAGCTAATACAAAAGCTCAAATGAGTTGTTTCTGTCAGTCACCTGGTTGAGCTCCAGGGGGAAGTGATCACCTATCCTTCAAGACATGTTGTGGTGTCACACTTCCTGGTGATTCTCACAGATTCTCTCTCACAGGGGAAAGAAGCTCATGAAGCCTGAGCCAGTAAATAGAGCCAAGTTAGAGTATATTAGCACTGATAATGCCCTCGGTTTATTCAGTTCACCATCTACCAACTGCAATGTTCTGTCAAGGGCATATGCTCTGCTTGGTGAGACAACCAGATTATCTGGAACAAGCAGTAACAATGATACATACAGGGCTGATAAAAGCATCATGGGTGTGCATAGAAAAGAATATG